TTCTCCTCCTCCTCCTCCTCCTCCTCCTCCCCCTCCTCCTCCTCCGTCCCCTCATCCTCCTCCTCGTCCTCCTCCTTGTCCTCCTCCCCCTCCCCCTCCTCCTCCTGCTCCTCCTCCTCCTCCTCCTCCTCCTCTTTCTCCTCTCGACTTCATTTTCCTGCCTCCTCCGCCGCCTCCTCCCCTCCCTGTGGGCGTGGCATGGCGGCCGCGGAGCCCCCGCGCCTGAGCGAGGCGTGGACCGTGGAGGGCAGGCACACCGGCTGCTACACGGGCGGCAAGGCTTGGCCGAGCGACAGGGGCAGGGCGAAGTGATTGGGGGCGTCCAGGAGGTGGGTGAGTTCCAGTGTGTGCGTGTGCGTGTGCGTGTGCGTGTGCGTGCGCGTGTGTGTGTGTGTGTGTGTGTGTGTGTGTGTGTGTGTGTGTGTGTGTGTGTGTGTGTGTGTGTGTGTGGGAGTGTGTGTGTGTGTGTGTCCCGCCGCCGCCGTGCACCTTTCGCGTTTCGTACGACTTACCAACGCCCTAACGCCAGCACAGTGACTCTGCCTAGCCGCCGACGGAATATACATATATGTATGTATGTATATATATATATATATATATATATATATAGGTGTGTGTGTGTACAGCTCTCTCTGCCTCTCTGAGGGCTCGGGCTCGTAGACGCGCGCGCTCGATTTCTGGCGCTCCTGGACGCGCGCGTTCGATTGCTGCTCTACGACTATCTCCGCCCTGTTGCTGCGCGCAGGGCCGCGACGCCAAAAAGCGTGCATAGCGTGGTCCCGCGCCGCGTGGTCTGAGCCGGCCGCGAGCGTCTCGTGGCCCGATGTTCTACGCCTCTACGCTGCGCGTGGGGCCGCGACACCGAGACAGTGTGTGTGTGTGTGTTTGTCCCTCGCCTGTTTTGGCCGCTGCACCTTGACATCACAGCGCTCGTCGTCTTTCACCATCGATCTGCATGGCCGCGACTGGACTCTTTCGTCATTTGCGTAGCCTAGCTTTTAGCGGAAGAGGTTCGCTCTCGCCCCGCCGACCAAAAAGTGTGTGTGGATATAGCCACGCCACGGTTTGTTCCAGGCTTCATGTTCTGTCTTATTTTTTTGTTTCTTCAACACGTCCCTTGGCCCCCCTTTCGTCCGCGCACGTGCCTGGGCCACGATGCGCATCCCCTTGTTCCTGGCTCCCACTTTTATTATTATTATTATTATTATTAGTATTATTATCATTACTATTATTATTGTTATTATTATTTTTATTAGTATTATTATTGTTATTATTATTATTATTATATTCATTTATTCAGTGATTATATATAAAACGAGTGCACATCATAGTGACCCTTCGCCAAAGTGACCTTAGTTGAAGGTCCCCTGGGCCCCCCGATCGCCGAGTGCGATTCGATTGCGGCGGCTTGCGAGCTTGGGCTTTGGCCACCCCTCTGGGGTCAAACGTAAGACTGGAGTTTGCTTGGACTCGGTTTTTTTCGATGTTTTTTGACGGGCCCGTCCTGGATTCAGACGTTCTAATTTTCGTGGGGTGTTAGCAGCAAAGGTTCGCGTCAAATTTCAGACGGGGTCTCGTCATTTTCTTGGCGGCCGCGTCAGGCCAACCCACGTCCCCCGAACCCGAGTCTTACGTCTCTCCGACCCTCGCCGGTCCCCCCGCGCCCCCTACCAGTCACGCGCCAACAGTTACTGTTGCCTGGGGTCGCCCTCGCATGTAGCTTGCCGACCAGAGGCCGGCTTCTACCTACTTCTCGGGCTTCCGCTGTGCCCCAGCTGGCGGGCGGCGACGGTGTGCTCACGGCAGCTGCGCCTTGCTCACGCCCTGCTCCCAGCAGTCGTGCCCCCCTTGCAGCACCACTTGGCCACGCAGCACGGTCGAGAGCTTCTGGCTCGCGTGTCGCTCCGCCGGTTCTGGCCCACCTCCGCCTCGACGCAGCACGCTATCCACATCCTGGTCCCCGGGCGTCAGCGTCTCGAGCTTTCCCCATCGCCCTGCCTCGCGGCGGACCGCGGAGCGGCACGCTATCCGCTCACAGGGCACAGCGGGTCGTCGGGGCCGCCGCGGCGACGCGCTACGCAACATTGCCCGACCGCTAGCAGGAGCGGGCCACTGGGTGCCCGGTCTCCGGCGAGCCCAGGACTCCAGCGCCGCGGGGGCAATGACACGAGCGGCGTTGCTGCTTTGCTTTGTATCGTTTTGCTTCGTTGCCCCCTCGGGAGCTTCGGCGTCGTGCAGCAGCAGGAGGAGGCCGCTGCTCGCCCCGGGGACCACGACACTACCGACCGTCGAGGAGCCGGGAGCTTCGGGGCCCAGGAGTCGTGAACCAAGCCGCGGCGTTGGAGGTATGGGAGGGCCCTGGACCCCCTGCGAGGCCTCACTGCATCGGGACCCCGGGCACGGGGGCGGGCCTGCCCGTAGCCCGAGGGGGACAAAAGGCCAGGCTTTGTGCGGCCACGGGGGTGAGGAGCGTGTACTCCGTACGTCCTCATCCGCCTCTGCCGCGTCTTCCTTCCCTCCTTGCGCTGCCGATCCTCTTCTCCTCTTCTCACCCTCTTCTCCGCTGCTGCTTCTCCTCACCCTCTGCCGAAATCCGAGGGTCGATATAGTGTCATTGGCCCGGGCGGTAAGCAGCACACAGCCACTTTTCCGCTGGCTGGCCAGGGACGAGACAGTCTATCTCAGGAGTGTACGGCCATCAATATGGTGGTTGGGGCTATGTCATCCGCATCCAGCCGATTGCCGTATAACGATAACATGGATGAATCGTCGTTTTCGTCAACGTCGGACAATTCATGACCTGCCAAGTCTCCAATCCTGCCATTGTCTCGATTTCGACGGAAAGCAACAGCAGACAGCAATGCTTCACGTCAGGCGGCCACTTTCGCTGCCCAGCCTGAGTCTGACTGCTCAGGAGCTTATTGTGACGACGAGCGTAAGCTTTGACGTACGCATTCGAGATGCCTTAGCGGCCCCCGATCCGATCGTCAGGTGTCCTGGTGCGAGGGGGCCCAGCTGCTCGGCTGCCTCTGCAACGAAGACCTGCAGTTGGTGAGCCTGTCGCCAGATGCCGACGAGTCACGCAAGGCCCTCCCAGGCGGAGGGAACAGGAGGAGGAGGAGGAGGAGGAGGAGAAGGAGGAGGAGGAGGAGGAGGAGGAGGAGGAGGAAGGAGGGGTGAGTCGTGGGGAGTGAAGGGGGGAAGGCCTGCTCCTCCAGCTTCTCCTGCTGTTGCAGCTTTCCTCCTCTCGGCCCCCTCTATGCTCTGTTATCTGCCCCGCCTCTCTCTCGGTCCCCCTCCTTCTCTCCTCCTCCTATCCTCTCTCTCTATCCCTCTATCCTATCCTCCTCCTCTCCTATCCTATCCCTCCTCATCCTATCCTCTCTCTCCTCCTTCTATCCTCCTCCCCCTCCTTCTCTCCTCTCTCTATCCTCTCTCTCTCTATCCCCCTCCTTCTCTCCTCTATCGTCTTTCTCCTCTCGCCTTTCTCCGTCCCGAATTTGCGCTCTGGCCTCGGCGCCTCGCGCACTCCTCCCCTCTTGCAAGTATCCCTCATGAGGTCTGCCCTTCTTTCGCCCTTGACCACCGGCGGTTTTCCACCTGTCGCTAGCACGCATGTTTCTCTTTCACAGTTGCCCTTTGGACTCGTTGTTCGTTGCAGATGCTTTCCTCTTCGAACGTCTTATCGTCACGAATTGTGCTCTCGTTTCGTCTCAAGTGCACGTCCTTGTCTTCCGTTGAGCGTGTGCGTTTTCCTGCTGCCGTTCTTGTGTACCTTTTCGCACTCAGGATTTGGAGGAAGTGGTTGATCTCGTGTGTTCTTCCACTCGCAGCGTCTTGGGTCATTCCGAACGGCGCGCTCGTGTCAGCACGTGTCACGCTCTTGCTCCCCCTGTGCCAATTCTCATTCTGATGATTACCCTCCTGTCTCCCTTTGCCGCGTGCGGGTTTTCAGTCCTCCCACTCCCGCGCACGGATTTTCACACGCAGGTGTGAAATCAGTAGTTTCTCGCGTGTGTTTTTGAGTGGAAGTGTTGTCGGTCTTTCTGAATGGCGCTTCGACGCCTGCCGCATTCCTGCTTCCCGCAAATGTATCCAGCATGCGTTCACTTCTCTTTCATTTGGCCACGTGCGTGCTTTCACCAGCCACCCCCGAGTATTTTCACAAACAGTTGTGCTGACTGGGGTTCTTATTGTGGTAAGAACTATTCCAGCCCGAGGGACCCAAGCACACACTCAAAATTCTGAGGTGTTCCAGCCCGTTTCGCCTGAGACATCCTCACAACTTTCGTTTCCGATTTGTCCAGGACTGTACTGTTTCGCTTGAGACGTTCTTGCGACTCTGGGCTCCGAGATTCCGTGCGCGAGGTAGTCCGGCCATCCTCAACATTCTGGGCTCCGAGCTGCCGCGAGAGTTGGTCCGGCTCATTTCGCTTTAGACATCTTCGTAACCCTGGGCTCCGACATGGCTGGGATTGAGGTGGACTGGTCCGTTTCTCTCAAGACATGCTCGCACCTCTGGGCTCCGGAGAGGTGGTCCAGCCTTTTTCGCATGAGACATCCTCGCTTATCTGGGCTCCGAAGTGCCGCGCGAGAGGTGACCTGGCCTGTTTCGCCTAAGACTTTTTTGCACATCTGGGCTCCTAGATGCCGCGCGAGAGGTGGTGGTCCGGCCCGTTTCGCCTGAGACATCTTCGCAACCCTGGGCTCTGAAGTGGCCGGGATTGAGGTTGCCTGGCCCGTTTTGCCTGAGACATTTTTGCAAATCTGGGCTTTGGGATGCCGCGCGAGCGGTGGTCCATCTCGCTTCCTGAGACATCCTCGCACCTCTTGGCTCCGAGTTGGCCAGGATTGAGGTGGGCTGGCCCGTTTCTCCTGATACGTGCTCGCACCTCTGGGCTCCCAGATGCCGCGCGCGAGGTGATCTGGCCCGCTTCGTCTGAGACTTTTTTTCACTTCTGGGCTCCGAGATGCCCTGCGAGAGGTGGTCCAGCCCGTTTCGCTTAAGACGTCCTCGCAACTCTGGGCCCCCAGATGCCGGGCGATAAGTGGTCTCGTCTGAGGCATCCTCGCAAGTCTGCTGTCCGCGATGACGCGCGAGAGGTGCTCAACCAGCACGTCTTGTCTGAGACATCTTCGCCGAGCCCAGACCAGGATTCAGGGGTCGGCCGCGAAAAAACAGATCAGGCGTTTGTGAGGGAGCCTCAGGTGGGAGCGCCGTGCCCGAGCAAACTGAGGAGATCTAGAGCCAGGGCGTGGCCAGGAGCGAAGAGGGGAGGAGGGAGGCGGGAGAGGATGGGGGCGGGGCAAAAGGAGGAATGGTGGGGAGGGCCGAGGGGAGAGGACAAGCTGGGTGCGCTCGCGCCACACCCGACGTCCTACCCCTCCCACCCATCCCTTCCCACTGCGCCGATTCTTATCCTGCCTCCTGCCTTCCCCCATTCTTCCTCCTGCCTCCACTAAATCCTCGTTTCCACCAGAATCTCAGCCCAAACGGACTTGAGCCAAAATGGCTCAAGTCCTCCCTTCGTGCCGGAAGATCACACTTTCCTGCTGATGCTGTTTGCCAGCGTTCGGGATGGTGGAATCTTGCCTGTGCATGGAGAACAACAAAAAATTGCGTTGATTCTTATTATCCGCCGATGGGTGTCATAGCGGACCTGGAGCTCCGAAGAGGACCCCATCAGGTTATGCGCCATCGGAAAAGAGGAGCTGCGTCGGATGGAGGAGGCGGTGGATGCACAGGGAGATGGGCAGGACCAAAGGAGGATGAGGATGAGCAAGGGGGATGACGAGAAGGAGTAGCAGCAGGAACTGGAATGGGAGGAGCGGGAGGAGCAGGATGACCAGGGGAAGGCGGGAGATGGGAAAGGAGAGATGCGACAACGATGAAAAAGGACTCAGATCCAGAAAAGTGGCTCGCGCTGTGGCGAGAGCATCATTGTGAACCTCGGGAGCAACGCGCCGATCCCAAATGAGGTCCACGATGCAGCGGGAACATAGTTTTGAAACACCGAGAACGTCCCGATTAGAAGCAAACGTGTAGGAACGACCAAATGACGACATCCTGTTTCAAAAGCCATACATTGAGGGTTTGAGGGTGTGGGATACTTCCAGGACGTATTCGGAGCAGAGTGGTCTTCAGATTGACGAGTTGTATTTGGTGGAGGGAGGAGGGAGGTGGGGCTAGAACCCAACGACGAATCTGGGCACGCTCATGGTATCTAGACTTGTTCCAGAAGCGGTACATGCGCCCCTGTCAAGAGGGAGCAGGTCAGTAGCCAGCGCAGAGGCGAGATCAGTCATTTGTCATGAAGTCTCAGGCGGGTGCGCCATGCCAGAGTGACTGCTGATGCTATCTCCAGCGAGAGGAGGACAATGAGAGTGTGGAGGAGAACCAGTAAGACGATTATGGACGAGGGAAACAAGTATGAATCACATAATGAGGCCCAGAGAATATGGATGATGAGGTGGAAGTGGAGAAAGTAGAAAAGGAGGAAGGAAGAAGTCGAGAAGGGTGGAGAAACGACAGGAGAGAAGAAGGAGTACGTAAGAGGAGATGGACTGGGAGGGGGAAGGGCGAGAAAGAGTATGACGAGGAGGAGTCGGAGGAGGAGGACGACAACCACAAGAGCGACGACGAATGCGACGACGACGACAATGATGTCGACGAGAGTGCCGGTCGATCAGGAGCAGGAGGACGACGATGATGCGCGAACAGTATTTGAAGTCACCCTGGCTCTACAAACGCTGTTTAGGGACATTGGACTCCGGCTCTAAGATTTTCGCACCAGTTTCCAAAGGCTGTTTGTGTCATGTTTTCTTGGGCTCGGAACGCTTTCGCTTGTTACGGGTAGCGTTTCCGCCTCAGCCACTGCTTCATTCCTGCTTCCTTCACAGTTTTTATTACGACAATCCCCTTCCGTAGCGCAAAGGAAACGTTCACTACGTATGCTTACCTATTGCAGAACGGTGCGCATGGCGTTCCCGGCGGGCAGGCTTGTGCGCGTGGCGTCCCCAGTCATTTTGTGGGTTCACGGAGTGGCACCTCCTTGTGATGTCTGCTTCATAAAGGGAGCGGGTTTTCAACCGCCAGCCCCGCGCATAGCTGTTCACACTCGCAATTACAAGTGCTTGTTTGCCGCACTTGTCTTCAGTTCGGGACTGCTGCGGTCTTTCCGAAGGGCGCTCTGGCTTCCTGCCTCATCTGCAAGCACTCTGTTCAGTACTGTCCTCCTCTCCCCCTTCAAGCACGTGCGCTATTTCCCGCCGCCAGTCCCGCATGAGAAGGAGGAGGGAAGGGGTCCAGGAGGAATAGGAAAGAGGTAGGATGGAAGGAGGGAGGATGGAGGAAGGAGTGAGGACCGAGGAGAAGGCGGAGGCTGAGAAGGCGGGGTAGGCGAAAGAGGATGAGAACCGACCTGAGGTCTCCCAGGACGGCGACGGCGTGCTTACCTTCGCCATCGACCCCTCGGGGAAAAACGCGTGTACCAGCCACAGGACCAGAGTTCGCAAGACGGCGGATGCCTCTGGGAGGAGGAGGAGGAGGAGCAGAGTCAAGCCAAGGTTCATCAACGATGCTGCGATACGCCCAACTGTCCCGTGTGACCTCCCCGTGGGCCCTTGCAGGGAGTCTTTTTCAATGAGGGGGAGTGTCCCCTCGGAAGGCGGGCGCTCTGCCCTCAGTCTGTGCAGTGTTACTCACATCTCGAACGAGCGGTTCTTAGAGCCGCGGGGAATCGCAAGCGAATGCGCGATTTGGAAAGGAGGCGCCCTTCATCAGTGTTGCTCATGTGCAGTTTGTTAATATGGTTAGAACGGTGAGGGAAGGTCTTTGTGCAGAATACATCCCCAGGACGAAAGTTTTTTCCTGTTGGGCCCGCAGTGGTGACACTGGTAGGGTAGGGTGGTAGAAGTGTCTTTGTGGAGAAGAGCAACCGCGCTCCGTCCGTGCAGCTGTTGGGATGTTATACGACGAGTGTGCGCGGCGCTGAGCTGCCGTGTACATATTTGGCGCGGTCAAGACCAATGCGTGTGACGCTACGGCGAGAGCCGCATCTTGAGAGCGGCATGTGCTCGATTGAAGACGAGAGTGTGCAACGTTCATGCGAGAGCCACGTTGTGAAAACGATCTGTGCGCCATCCATGTGGTGGCTGGGATTTTGTCAAGCGACTGTGCGTGACGCTAGCGCGAAAACGCCATCTTGAGCATCACCCTCCTTTCATCCGCGTGGTTGTTGCAAATTGCACGGTTCGGGGTCATAAGCGGGAAGGAAGTCTCAGGCGAAATGCCCGGGCCGCCGTACCGACACGTTTGATGGTCAGCTGAGGAGAAGTTATTCTGTCTATGAAGAGAAGGAGCGGATGAGTAGTAGTAGTAGTATTAGTAGTAGTAGTAGCAGTAGTAGTAGTAGTAGTAGTAGTAGTGGTAGTAGTAGTAGTAGTAGTGGTAGTAGTAATAGTAGTAGTCGTAGTGATGGTAGTAGTAGTAGTAGTAGTAGTAGTAGTAGTAGCAGCAGTAGTAGTAGTAGTAGTAGTAGTAGCAGTAGTCGTAGTAGTACTAGTACTAGTAGTAGTAGTAGTAGTAGTAGTAGTAGTAGTAGTAGTAGTAGTAGTAGTAGTAGTAGTAGTAGTAGTAGTAGTAGTAGTAGTAGTAGTAGTAGTAGTAGTAGTAGTAGTAGTAGTAGTAGTAGTAGTAGTAGTAGTAGTAGTAGTAGTAGTCAGTAGTCAGTAGTTGTAGTAGTAGTCGTAGTCGTAGTCGTAGTCGTAGTAGTAATACTGGTCGTTGTACTAGTAGTAGGAGTAGTAGTCGTAGTACAAGTAGTAGTAGTAGTAGTAGTAGTAGTAGTAGTAGTAGTAGTAGTAGTAGTAGTAGTAGTAGTGGTAGGAGTAGTAATAGTAGTAGTAGTAGTAGTAGTAGAAGTGGTAGTAGTAGTTTTAGTAGTTCTAGTAGTAGTAGAAGTGGTAGTAGTAGTAGTAGTAGTAGTAGTAGTAGTCGTAGTATTAGCAGTAGTAGTAGTCGTAGTCGTCGTAGTAGTAGTACTAGTAGTCGTAGTAGTAGTAGTAGTAGTAGTAGTAGTAGTAGTAGTAGTAGTAGTAGTCGTAGTAGTAGTAGTAGTAGTAGTAGTAGTAGTAGTAGTATGGGTAGTAGTAGTAGTTTGTCGTAGTAGTAGTAGTAATTGCAACTTTATGTAATCGTAGTAGCAGTAGTAGTAGTAGTAGTAGTAGAAGTAGTAGTAGTGAAAATTAAAGTATTAGTAGTATTCGTAGTGGTAGCAGTAGTAGTAGTAGTAGTAGTAGTAGTAGTAGTCGTCGTACTCGTTTTCGTCGTCGTCGTAGTAGTCGTATCAGTAGTAGTAGCAGTAGTAGTAGTAGTAGTAGTAGTAGTAGTAGTAGTAGTAGTAATATCAGTATTAGTAGTAGTAGGAATAGTAGTAGTAGTAGTAGTAGTAGTAGTAGTAGGAGTAGTAGTAGCATTTTTGATTTTGTAGCAGTAGTCGTAGTAGTAGTAGCAGTAGTAGTGTCAGTAGTAGTAATACTAGTCGTAGTAGTAGTAGTTAGTCGTAGTAGTAGTAGTAGTAGTAGTAGTAGTAGTAGTAGTAGTAGTAGTAGTAGTAGTAGTAGTAGTAGTAGTAGTAGTAGTAGTAGTAGTAGTAGTAGTAGTAGTAGTAGTCGTAGTGTAGTAGTAGTAGTAGTAGTAGTAGTAGTCGTAGTCGTAGTAGTCGTAGTCGTAGTAGTAGTAGTAGTAGTAGTAGTAGTAGTAGTGTTAGCCGTAGTAGTATAGTAGTAGTTAGTAGTAGTAGTAGTAGTAGTAGTAGTAGTAGTAGCAGTCGTATTATTATTTATTATTATTATTAGTAGTAGTAGTAGTAGTAGTAGCTGTAACGGTAGTAGTAGTAGTAGTAGCAGCAGTAGTAGTAGTAGTCGTAGTAGTAGCAGTAGTAGTAGTAGTAGAAGTAGTAGTCGTAGTCGTAGTAGTAGTAGTAGTAGTAGTAGTAGTCGTAGTAGTATGCATTAGTAGTAGTAGTGTCGTAGTAGTAGTAGTAGTAGTCGTAGTAGTAGTAGTAGTAGTAGTAGTAGTAGTAGTAGTAGTAGTAGTAGTAGAAGTAGTAGTAGTAGTAGTAGTAGTAGTAGTAGTAGTAGCAGTACTAGTTGTAGTAGTCGTAGTAGTAGTAGTAGTAGTAGTAGTAGTAGTAGTAGTAGTATGTATTAGTAGTTGGTTGTAGTAGTAGCCGTAGTAGTGGTAGTGGTAATGGTAGTGGTGGTAGTGGTGGTAGTGGTGGTAGTAGTAGTAGTAGTAGTAGTAGTAGTAGTAGTAGTAGTAGTAGCGGTAGGGCCACCCGTCGTGTATGGCCGGCCTTTTTATGGCCGGTAGTTTGGTTGGGTTTCTATACAGGTGTACGAAGTCCTGTTATAAACTACGCCTCCTTCACACTTGACTTATGGCCGGCACGCTGTGAGGAATCCGAAGGAATTCTCCAGGAATCCTCAGGCATTCTCCAGGGGTACGGAATTCTCGAGGAATCCTGAGAATTCTCCAGGAATCCTAAGGCATTCCTGAGGAATCCCGAGGAATTCATGAGGAATCTAAAGGAATGCCTGAGGAGTCCTGAGGGATTCTCCAGGAATCCTAAGGCAATCTCTTGGAATCCGAAGGAATTCTTCAGGAATCCCAAGGAAACCTGCAGGAAGCCTAAGGATTTTTCCAGGAAGCTTCCAGGAATCCGCAGGAATCCGAGGGAATCCTGAAGGAATCTCAAGGAAATCCTCAGGAATCCGTAGGAATCCTCGCGGAATCCCGAGGAAGCCTCCATGACACTGAAGGAATTTTCAGGACTCTTTAGGGGGTCTTCAGGAACCCCAAGGAATTCTTCAGGAATCCGAAGGAATGCCAGAGGATCATCAGGTATTCTTCAGGAATCTAAAGACTGCAACAGGAATCCTAAGGAATCTCGGAGGAATCCGAAGGAATCTCGGAGGAATCCTAAGGAATCTCTAAGGAATCTTAAGGAATTCACAAGGAATTCCTAGGAAGCCTCCAGGAATCTGAAGGAATCCCAGACGAATCCTAAGGAATCCTTGAGATTCCATAGGAATTCTTCAGGAATCCATAGGAATTCAAAAGGATTCCTTAGGAATTCTCAAAGGATCCTAAGGGAATCTCAAGGAATCCCAAGGAAGTCTCCAGGAATCCGAAGGAAGTCTCCAGGAATCCTAAGGAAGTCTCCAGGAACCCGAAGGAATTTTCGATGAATCCCGAGGAATGCTCGAGGAATCCGAAGGAAGTCTCGGTGAATCCGAAGGTTTCCTTTGTGAATCCTAAGGACTTACCCCGAAGATTCCTAAGGAAGTCTCGAGAAGTCCTCAGGAATGCTCGAGACTGAGTAGATCACAGCAGCAACTGCGGTGGCCACGGTGGCGCGGGACAGAAATGCCCATGGAAAGGGGCTCCCATGAGGCCACCAAACTGACGCCCCAAAAACCAACTTAGCGCGATTCCTAATTACAACCATTGGTTTTCAATAGAGAACTAATGAGAACCAGTGGTTTCCAATAGAACAGAAGTCAAACCATTGGTGTTCAATAGAAAACTAATTAAAACCATTGGTTTCCAATGGGGGGCTAATTCAAACGATTTGTTTCCATAATTAAAGCCATTGGTTTCCCAGTAGAAAACTACTGAAAACAATTGGTTCCCAATCGAAGACTAATAAGAACCATTGGTTCCCAATAGAAAACTAATTAGAACCACTAGTTTCCTTAGTTAAAGCAATTGGTTTCCTTACGAACAACTCATGAATACCATGGGCTTCCAATAGGAACTAATGAACAACCATTGGTTCCCAATCGAAAACTAATAAAACAATTGGTTACCAAGCGGAAACTAATTAGAACCATGGGTTTCCAATAGAAAATTGATAACGACAATTGGTTTCCAATAGAAAGCAATTTAAATCAATTGGTTTCCAATGGCAAACTAATTAAAACCATTGGTTCCCAATGGGGGGCTAATTAAAACTATTGGTTTCCATAATTAAAGCCATTGGTTTCCCAGTAGAAAACTACTGAAAACCATTGGTTCCCAATAGAAAACTAATGAGCACCATTGGTTCCCAATAGAACTAATTGGAACCATCGGTTTCCGTAATTCAAACCAATGGTTTCCTTATGAACAACTAATGGATACCATTGGTTTCCAATAGGAAACTAATGAACAACCATTGGTTCCCAATAGAAAGTTAATAAAAACAATGGGTTTCCAAGCGGAAACTAGTTAAAACCATTGATTCCCAATAGAAAAATCATGGAGACAATTGGTTTCCAATAGAAAACAAATAACAGCCGATGGTTTCCAATGGATAGCTAATTAAAACCATTGGTTCCCAATGGGGAAGTAATTAAAACCATGGGTTTCCAATGGAAAACAAATAACAACATTGCCTCCCAATAGAAAACTAATAGAAACCATTGGTTTCCAATAGAAAACTTTTTAAAACAAT